GAATGCCCTTTGGATGCTCTTTGGTGTAACTGGAAAGTTTGGCCATCATGAATTGGAGCTTTCTCTGTGGTGCTTATTTCCCCCATTTCTATTTATGTTAGGCATTGTGTTGAGTCAATATTGAATATTAACAGCATATTGTAAAGTAGAGAAATGCTGTATGTCCAATTATTTCCAGAGGAAGAGCTGAGTCCCAAGAAAGCTTAAGTTCTACCCAGAGTCACAGTGAAGAAGATACAAGAGATGAGGCTGAGGCTAGTTCTTCAGCCTTAGGTTAGTGCCCGAACTGTCCTTTTCTTTAAAATAATGCAGTTGTAACAGAGAGGCTCAACTCTTCACATACATGTGAAACAAGTGTACCCGTGCTAAGAGATTTTTCTTTCTCTGGCTACATCTATTAAAAGCTGGCTTTAGAATATGGATTTGCTTCATTTGCCCTTGTTACATCTGTTATTTCATTTCTACGATATCCACCAAGTTCTATCAAAATCCTGAAGCTTAATTTTGAGGCACTTTCCTTTATCCAAATAGTCAGGAGCAATGTATTCACTTGAAGCAATGTATTATTTTCTTTAAAAAAAAAAAAGACACATTTTTATTAGGATAACTCCTAAAGAAGATGTATTTTAAACAAAGAACTAATAGCATTTATATACTTCTGGGGAAAATGTAATCTGTGTTTTTTCCTCAGTATTTCTTATGTATATTTATGTATAGGGAATAGTGGAAATGAGACCTTATTTGAGGTGAAAAATCCTCCCCTGGGCTTTTAAGGGTTGTCAGGATTGACTTAGGATTTTAAGGCTCTTCGTAAACATTATGATATTGAGTGTAAAAGCTTGCTCTGAAAACATGACAAGGAATATATTTTGCCTTAAGAAACAGCTTGCTGAAAGCAGCTTGTGTTAGGCCTTTCCCTTGGTTTTACATTGTTCGTTAAGTCTGTTGGAACATTGCATAAGGTTTTGTGAAGCTTTAAAAAATACCACATGAAATCAATCTCTTTTTTTTTTTTCCTTCTTAAAAAAACTAATATACTGACCGTTACATGGGGCCTCAAGTTAAGTGGAAAGCACTGGTTTCAATGTAAGTAGTGAGTTTTCTGGAAAACTCATAAACACACCACATCTGTCTCTGTAAAGTTTGGAGCAGGGATCTTGCATCATAACCTGAGAAACCTCCCATAGTTTCTAAGTGAAGGAACCTACAATAAGTGTAATTCTGATTTTTGTTTGAGAAAAACATCTGTATCTGTCACAAGGGCAGCTCTAGTTATAATTTAGCCTGTGTATTTGACTTGGCAGAGCTGGATGGGCAACTTTGGCTGTAGGCAGTTTCCATATTCTAGTCTTTGTCTAGTATAGTCAAGGTTCAACATGTATCCCTGCCCACGTACGGGTTTCCAATGACAGGCTACAGGCTGAGGATATTTGAGGATATTTGGCTCATACAGGTCAGGGCATGTTTCTTAGCTCCTTTTCTTTCTAGCACTGACAGGAATAGAAATTGAAATTGCTTTTATATGACAAGTGCAAAAGCTTGTGTGGGTCTGGTGGTCACTGTTGTTGAAAATGCATAATTAGTGTAAGGTATATTTGAGAATAGAGTGAAATCTGAATCATATACCTGGAAAGGTAATAATGGAACGAGAAGCAAATGAACATATTCTGATCCACACGTAGGAATTCAGTGAAGCTGTTAAACTTGTGTGTGCTTCAGTTTCACACGTGGAGATGCCAGGAAGGAAGGAAGGAGGAGTGGGTAGATCTGGTGGGAGAGAAAATGATGATGTGCAATGATGTCCTTCACAAAAGTACTTAGAAATCAATAAATGTGTTCAATCACTGGCTCTGAATCCTGCTTTTCCAGCAAGAGGCTGATGGTCTTACTGGTGTAACAAAGCAGCTGCTGCTGGTCTGGTGTTTGAAAGTTACTTTTGAAAGGTATGTGCGTACTTCTGAGCCGCAATGCCTTCTGCTTCCATCTCGCCAGGCAGGAAATGCCACCCAAAGATTCATGTTCGGAGATGTTTTCAGATAGTTGACTGAAACCTACCTTTGGCTTTTGTGAGTCTGAGAATGGGAGCTGTGACACCTGATATATGCTATGTCTGAACTGAAGTTTAATTTTATGGGGTTTTATTTTTCTGGTGATCTCCTAATTATAAGAAAGGAGGAGGGGGCCCTGGAGATGGGCAGTCCCTCAGGGATGGGCTCAGCAGTCCTGGGCTGGCCTTTAGGGACATTTCAGGGTAAATACCCGTCGTGCAGGATCTGGGACTGATAATGTGCTGCAATAGTTGACTGTACCTGGAACAATTTATATGTAGCAGTTCAAAATTACGGATTCATTTGATGCTTTTGTCCAGAAAGTATAACAAGGCAAGGCTTGGTTTTGGACACTCCTGTTGTGTTCAAGTGAGGTAATCACTGTGGATGCTGTCCTTGGTTTTCCTTCTCCTTTTGCACAGCTCTCCCCTGCTCTGGGCAGGCAGGGAAGGAGAGCATCCAACTGCTGTCTTTCCTGCTTTGCTTCTGCTGTGTTAAACATTGCTGGCAGAGCAAAGGAGAAATCAGAATTGTCAGCCAAAAAACAATTGTAGCTCACGGTGAAAAAGAAAATACACGCTGCACTATGGCAAAACCAGTCTTGTCAGATTTGCTTAAAGGTTTTAAGCAATATGTGGACTTGGCCAAGAAAGGGCCTTTAGAGTCTTGGTGACAATTTGCTGCTGAATACTGTAATTTCAAGGAGGCAGCTGTACTTTGTGTTGGAATTCACTACGGTGCAGGGTGATTATGTGCTTGCTTATCCAGGAGGTTCACTTCTCTCCGAGGTACGTGCATCTAAGTCTAGCTGCTGTGCTACTACTTCAGAGTAGCTTGCAATCTCCAGCCCTATATGCACTGGGTGATCTTTCTTCGTATTTGTAGATTATAACTCTTTAGTTCTTGTGTTAATGCAGTGGGAGCTAGAGACAGAATCCTTCCTTGGAGCTTTTATAGGTGAAGTTCGTTAAATGTTATACTGTTGGAAATATTTCTCTTGAAACAAGCAACCTGCTTTCTGACACTTTAGACCACTTCAACGAAGCTTGGGGTTCTTCACTCAGTCCAGTGGCCACAAAGTAGTGTTTGTGCCTTAAGCTACTTGGTATTTATTTGATATACTTCATATATTTCAGTAGCTTTCATCATTTGGTTTTTTTACAAGATGGAAAAATAGTGATTGCTTCCCTTATGCACCAGTAAAAGAACTGTATTGAAAACTTGAAAGGGTTGTTGAACAGTGAGGAAGGAAACAGATAGAGGTTGACTGTATCATATTGAGCTGCAGATAAAAGAACCATTGAGCTGCACCCTGCTACAAGCTTTAGGGTCTAAACACTAGAAGAAATATATCACTTGGTATGTCTCCGGGTTTGGATGTACATAGTGTACGCAAAGTAGTATAAACTAGGCGTGAAGCTACGGCAGGACCTCTGTTGTGAGGCTGAGATACAGGGAAAGAAATGCCAAATTCGTCCAACCTTTCCAGAGTTCACTCTCTTAGGTAGGGTTCGAGTCCAGTCTGTATAGAGAAGCTGCAGTCACTGCGAGTCAGACCTGCTGTGCAGAAGACCCTACCTGGTCAAAATTCATTTTATCCTGTTGTTGTGGTTTATCCCCAGCTGGCACACGCAGATGTTCATTCACCACCCCCCTCAGTGGGATGGGAGAAAGAATTGGGCTAAAAAGGTAGAACTTGTGGGCTGAGATAAAGACAGTTTGATAGGACAGAAAAGAAAGATATAATAATAATAACAACAGAAAATGCAAAACAAATGCACGGTGCAGTTGCTCACTACCTGCTGACTGATGCCTGTGAGGCCTCACCGGAGCTGAGTACAGGGGCAGAATGGCATCCCTACATCCAGATCCATGCCACAGCACTGTACCGGCTACTGGGGAGAAATACAGCTTTAGTATTATTTTTCGTGCAGTTTAATGCTGTTGTACCACCTCTCTGAAGGGCAGGGAGTGACCAGAATTCCTGTCGTTTGTGACACACGAAGGATGAGTGAATGACCATTTTTTGGATTCCGGCTGGGGTTTCCAGTTACAGGTTTTATATTTGACTGCTTTTGTGGCTGGAAACTTGTACCAGCTGTCAACTTAAGAGCAAGTGGCAATCTGCCTTCCCAAGCAAATGGGACCTCACATTTATTTTCGGTTTCAGGTTTGTTATTACTTATTGTAGGTTAAAAATCCTGGTGTAACGTCCTTGACCCTTTAGTAAGATATGTAGGGATGGTTTGTTGTGGTTAGAGTATTAAACAACTTGTTTTGTGCAAGTACAGATAAGAAGCACAAGCACAAATAAGTCCTGACCCACGTAATACTTGATCAGTTTAGGTCCTCGGTAACTGAGGCGGTTTCATCTTATGGTTTCCACGTAATGAGCAAAGGGACTTTTTGTGTGATACAAAGACTGAGTGCGATAAGGCATGGCAGGAGGTAAAAGTGAACAATTATTACAATGCATTTTCTTTTTATCTCTCTCTTTTGTTTGTTTGTTCTTGAACAGATTGAAAACATAGATGCATGCCTGAGTTTCTTGGCTGCGAAGGGAATTAACATCCAGGGGCTGTCAGCAGAAGGTGAGTCAATCAGTTGTTTAAAATTTCATTTTAAATGAGCAACCTGAATTGCTGCTTGTGATTGTAACCAGAACATGGAGTGCAATGGGAGATTAATATGGATAATTTAAACTTTTGACAGTCTTTACTTCTTTTTTCCCCATCTCAGAAGGAAAGGTAAGTAAAATGTGTCTAGTCTCCACACAGCTGACTTATGAAGCCAATCAATAAGATCAAATTAGAATTCAATAATTTCTTTCTTTCTTTCTGCTAGAAGACAGAAATTTCTCATCTAAGTTCTATAATTGACACATTAATCAGAGTGTAGATTATACAGATATTTAAAGTGAACTATTCGCAGTTGTTTGCCTTTGGAGAGAGAAATTTATTTCCTCATTCCTCAGGGTTTTTTCCTGCCAGAAAAAGTATCCTGCTTTGTCTTCTTCTTTTGAAGAAAGATATTTTTTTTAAAGTTCTCTTCCAATTACACGAAACAAAACCCAAATGTTTTGAACAAAAAGAAAAAAGATGACATTTGGACCTCTAATTCATCACTCTCCTTTTGAAGAGCAGGGGAATTTTTCTGAAACTCAAACATGACTCAGCATACTGTATTCCTTTATGCCAGTGTATTATATATGTCAAGGTTTATAATACCTTTTGGCTCAGAAGCTGCTTAACTGCTGTCTTTTTAAGAGATCAAACAGATTTCTGTCATCGTCAGCACCAGCTTTCACTTATACTTTCATTTAAATATGCTTGAAAAGCAGTTGCATTTGGTAGCTGTTAAGACAAAATTTGAATACATTATATGATGTCTCCTTCAGTGTTTTACAAAGGATTAGATGTCTGGCATTGGGTTAGGTTTGGTGCCTAAATCTCTTTCCAAACTTGGTTTTGAGGAGGTTATATCATTGAATCATGGACGTACAATTCCAGTTTAAAATTAAATTTTACAGTTTGGAAAACAGCTTAGAGAATTCCTTATTTTTCCAAAAAGGGAGCCCACTACCTACTTCTAGGTTCAGAGAACTTCCAAATGTAATTTCACTCATTTTGAGGTAGTTGGTAATCATGGAATACAAAGTGGCAGGTATTTAGTATGCATTGTTCTAACCTGAATATGCCACAGCTAGGAGGAGAAGAGGAGGCTGAACATTAGCTGTCTTTTCCTGTGTTGTATCCGTAAACTGGATTAGAACACCAATAACAAGTATTTTCCTCCGAAGAGGAGCTTTAATAGCCAGCTTAAGTGCTGCCTGCACTACATGCCTCGATAATCATATATTATAATCTGTAGGATTCTCATGTCAAGACAAGAAAGTATGAGCTGAAACTTCTAACAGCAGAAGGTTTGGAAGTATCTAGATTATCCCATGGCTTCGCTGAGTTTGTATTTCTTTCTTTCTTTTACACTATTTAGGAATTAACAAATTATATGGAAGCCAGGAAGAGACCAGTAATGTTTGCTGCCAACATATGAATGAAAACGTTTGCTGGCTCCACCACTAACACTGAAGGAAAAGAGTGACAGCTAGAGAGGTGGAGGAAAGGAGCATCTTTTATAAATTATGTTAAACTTGAATTCAGCAATAAATTAATTTCCTGTTCTTAGTCACTCCATAACTGTGCTGAGGAAGGAGGGGAAACTGAGCAAGAGAGAACACAGAATCACTGAAATAAAGAGTACCGTGACCAAACAAGCCAGTGTTTCTGCACAAAGTTGCCAAGACCTGCTAACGCAGCTACAGATAACTTTGTTTACTGCACTGGCAGATCCTCATCTCAGAGGAAGGAGAAGATTGTGATTGCTTCCAAGTGGGAATAAGCATTGGAGTCTCTCCTGGGTTGCTTGAGAACACATATTTTTCAATAATGCAGTTTTAGTGGGGAGGAAAGTCAGTGATTCAAACCTGGAATGTGAATCACTCCTAAATGTTGAAATAATTTAGGACTTCATGTGTCATATCCTTCCAGTATTAAAAAGTCTTGCTTTGATATGTGTGTGCCACTTTAGACCTGGTCTTTATGGATTTATGCAGTGAGGATGCTGTGGTTCTGCAGTCACTGATGATGACCATATTATGCTAGAGACAGGTGCCCATCCTCAGCAACGTGGAGCCAGAAAGGCATCTTTTAGATTTTTAAATGCCAAAATCTCCATTTGTAGTTACTAAAGAAAACTATGGGGATGCTGGCAAATTCTTTTATGCTGCAGTTTTTTATCCACTGCCTTGAGAGCAGTCTCTACATGCCCTTTCTCTTAAACTTGTTTCCGCACCAAGCTGGATTTTGGACTCCTGGAATTGCAACTGCCCAGCTGAGCTTGTCCTCCTTCACACAATATCTCCTTGCTGCCAAGGTTTTGAAGATTATAAACAACATAAACGTACAGTAGAAACTCAAATTGATGTCATAGATAGCAACTGCACCTCCTCTGGGTAACAGATTAGCTGGATAACGATCAGTTGAACAGATCCTGAAACCATAAAGTGATGAAAAAAAAACGTCTCGCTAGACCTTGGAACAGCCACAATTCAGCTTAGACTTTTCCCTCTGACATGACATTAATGCTTCTGTAGGTAACTGAATTTCAGTGTACACCCTCTGCAGAACTGCAGTTCCTCCATTTTTAGGCACATTAGGTCCTTTCCAGTGTCAAGGTGGAATTCTTGTTTCCACAGCACAGATATCCCACAGTGCTATTTTAAGCACACCCGAGTAGGGCACTTCCCATTCTGCCAGGTTTTGATGATACTACACTGAATAGTTTTGTACAGTTTTCAAAAAATTGCTCTTTAATTATCAAAAAATGCCTGCAGATCTAGTGTATATATGGTGGGGATTAATTCCTCCTTCCAGGATCAGCTGTGAATTATGTCTACTTCTCGACATTTTGTCTTAAATCCCATTTTTCTTCTTCTTTGGCCTGCTTTGATCTGTGCTCTATACACAGTGAGTAGCTTACAATTTGCAGAAATTTCATTCACAAGTGTTAAAGGACTCTGATAATGACTAATGACATTCCTCTAGTAATCTCTCCAGCAGACCTTTCTTTTCTTTGCCCTGAAGTGACTTCCCCCCCTCCACTGAGTCCAGCGTATTTTTGTGGAGACAGAGAAGGATGGTTGGCAAGCTACAGTGGTGGAAGTTCCAGCTCTAGGGGAAACAAGCAGCAACAGAGATATATTCGAGCATGGAAGTTTCCCAAGAGTGAATTTGTAGGGATCCTCTGAAAACCAAATTGCAGTTTTCTCTGAAATGTCTGGAGTGTTTGTTTCAGATACACAAGACGAGTCACTTTTGGCTCCAAATTTAAAATGAGTGGGTGACATGCTTGCCCTTATCTGAGTTAATATGTATATTTAAGCTGACACATGGACTGGAGGGGACTTGAGGCCGGAAGGAGCTGAGACTGCGCTGATGGGCAGGTTGAAGGACTCCTTGCAATACTCGTTTTGTACAAAGTGCAGGGGCAGAGTGCCAGGTGAATTACCTCAGCCTATCTCGAGATAAGAGGAACAGAACTACCTCTGAAAGTCCCGATTGAAATATTTTGCTTCAAATCCAAGGTGGAAAGAGTCTGCTTCTTTTGAAACTCATTAAAGTTTTGTTTTTTTCTTTTGGATTTTACTTTGGTCACCTTAGAAAAGACGTCACAAGTAGGTTGCTTTTATAAGCACAGCAGAAGGCAGCCAAGCCATAGAAAGCAACAGGTTTTAGGTGGTTTATTGTTATAATCATCTCTCACTTCACGTGGAAATAAAAATCCTCTTGCATATAGCTTTAAGTTTAAACATGCAGACCCATGGTAATTTCCTTTTATCTTCTGGCTTGTATTTGTGCAGTTAAGCTTCCCAGTGCCTCTGGGTCTGTTTAGTTATGCTTCGGCCTGTGATTAAGTGCTACTTGTCTTACAGTTCCCATGAGTAATTTGAGTTCTTTGCTGAAGATAAGGAGATCCTTTTTTTTCCTGTGCTTTGCTGTCTTTTGTGTCTGTTTTACTTTATTGTGCACTTCCATCCATGCCCTAAGCACAGGCAGGCAAGAGAAGGAACCAGTCTGATGCTGGTGGCAGTGGGAGAAGGCTGGGCTGGTGGCGTGAGAGCAGGAGTGGGCTGGGAAAAGGGGAGACAGGCAGGATTCCCTGGGACCCCGCTGCCCAGGGAGAGGCTAAAATCCTCTGAGAAGACAGAGGAAGACAGAAAATGACTGCTGGAGGGCCCTGGGATTCATAAGCATTTAAACAAGGGAATGGGGACAGTGGTGAGAGAGAGCACTGGTGGAGGGACCAGGCTGCAGGGAGGAAAATAATGGTAAGGAAATTCCACCTGGAAGTAGGAGAGGAAAGGAAAAGTCTGGGGGGTGACGAGGACCACGTAGAAAAAGGTCTAGGAGTTGCTGAGGAGATGGGCATGGGCCAAAATGAAATTCAGGAAGAAAGTAAATTAGATTAGTGCCCAAGAAGAGATAGTTTGAAGCACAGGTAGACAAGGAGACCAAAGCTGGAAGCTGGTAAAGAAAGGAGAGCAAGACTTTTAAGCCATAAGTTTGAGTTTTGCTGGGTAAAGGCCTTCGGGTTAAGAACAGAAACTTGTTGCACAGCAAAGGGGAGCAACATGAGCAGAAACATGACTGGAAGAGGGAGTAAAGGATAGAGCAGGGCCCATTGCAGAGTCAGAGCAATCTTTCAGCCACAACTGGGAACAGAAATAAAAACTCGGGTTCTGTCCTTTGTACTTGGCCACGGTCCTGCCTTGCGTCCTTTTCTTCCCCTCTTACGCTAATCCATGTAAAGGAATTTAAAAGCAGAGGGAAACAGTTTTATTAGTTCAGGTGGTTTATACAGTGCATGCAAAAGTTCAGCTGTTTGATGTAGCTTTTTAAATTCACTTTTTTGATTTAGGAAATTAAACCTGCTAAGTACTTAAGTCACGGTACATTATTAAGGCTGTGTGTGAGACTGAATTGGCACTCTTGCATATTAATTATGATACAGCGGTTAACTGCATATTCTGATATGTATCTTTACCTTTGTATTTCTGTTTTTACTTTTTCGTGTTTGTTATTGCACAGAAGAACAGAATGTCTTTTAGGAACTGATATGTTTATTTGTCTACTGTCAAGCTATCTTTAGGTACCTTGGGTATCCATCCTTTGTTGGCTTGTGATGGTGTCAAACTGATTATTATCTGGTTTAAGACAGCTATTTCACTCAATAATAATATTTGCTAGTGCAAAACTTGTATCAGATTTTCTTAGTGGAAACAACTAGTCTGATACTCCAGAAATTGTGTAGTACTGTGGGATAACTGAGTAGTTTCTCCTCCTCATGCAGATTTAGGACTGAGAAATCATTTACAGGGAGCTGTTGTTAATACTCTTGTGGGGTTTTGTTTTGTTTTGTTTTTTTTTGGTTGCATTAGTTTGAAAGAACTTATTGAAAGAACTCTCTTTTTAAGCACATTGGTGTTAACAC